TCTCTCTCTCTCTCTCTCTCTCTCTCTCTCTCTCTCTCTCTCTCTCTTTCATAGCCATCCTTCTTGACTTCCCTCCAGAAGCAGGACCCTGCCACAGCAGTCTCCATCCCAGTGTCTTCCAGCACTCACTTCAGAGCCATCAGTGACACCGGACCCCCCTCCTTCACTCTCTATGCTCCCCAGCCAGGGGAGGCTGCTGCTCATAGTGGGGTCAAAGACACTGAAGAAAGCAAAAATGGAGCCATGGTGGGACTACCCACGAAGACTGGGGACAGGGTTGGAGGTTAGTATGGTAGCTTTAAGGGACAGAGAAATGATGATAATGTGCAAAGTATTCTCTACAATTTCATAGAATGACGTTACAGCCTAAAATATTAAAGTAATTATGCAATTGTGTTTTTACTCATCACCTTTCATGTATTGCTTTACCATGTTTTGCAAATGTGATTTCTAGTTGATTCACCTGAGACTTGTTAGCATTTCCATGGATGAATCATAAATAACCAGAACAGCCTAATTCGAGTGGTAAACTAAGTGATCGTAGAACTGCAGAATCCAAATAGAAAAATTCTAACGTTAACCTCACTTATCAGTATTTCCTGGTGACACATGAGCTTGTTTGTATGCATCAATTGATTCTTTACTCTGGGTTTTTTCTGTAGTAAGAGAGGTGGAAAGTGTTGGGCCATTATGTCCAGAGATGGAGGGTCTAACAGCCTGCTCAGTGTCTCCCAGGATTCTCCTTGATCATCTTGATGAAGGTGGGAATAGAGGAAGTCCCAGTAGAAGAACGGACTCGCCATCCAAGAGGAAAGGTATAAATTCTCTATCTCAAGCATACAAGAACAAACGTGTGCATATGGAGTGAGAAATTGTGTACGCAATTGTTGAAAAGAGGCCAAAAGTCTGTCTATGAGGAGGTCCTGAAGTTTTTTTTATGCTGTGATTCTGCCAATGTAAAAGTACACTACCCCACAGAGAGGGGGCAAACATATGGTTTGCATGAATTGGGGATTGCATTTTGGGTCGATGTCATCCATTGTGCCGCAAGAACTGCTTTCATATTTGAAGTGTTGTTTTGACCAAGATGTTATTGGTGTATGGGGCAGTGGAGCTGCGTGGAGTAATGCAGACAGTGAGAAGGGAACACAAAGAAAGACTTTCTTTAACACAAAGTGTCTATGAGCTTCATTATCATGCTACTTATACTGATGATATGTAATATTGTCTCTTATTAGAAAAGAGAAGCCAACACCTTGGTGCTGATGGCATATACCTGGACGACATTACAGCGCTGGAGCCTGAAGTAGCTGCTCTGTACTTCCCTAAAAGGTTCAGTAACAAACATTTACATATGTAACATGTTTGTGCTTTATATGAGTACAAAACATGTTCCATCCAAATGCACACACCTACTTTATAAAGAGCTTTCATGTGGTGTAATTCACCCTCTGGCGGCCACCATGGAGGTCTTGACTTAGACTTTTTGACTATTTTTGTGATATATGGCTATAGCTAACCATCAATTATATTACATTACATTCATGTAGTTGACGCTTTTATCCAAAGCGACTTACAATGATTGCATTCAACCACGTGGGTACGAGAAAAGAAAGTGCAAGATTGATGAAAGTACATCAACTTTATCAAATATTTAGATCTACTTCAAGTGCTACATTTAGAAACAATTGGAGATAGAGAAAAACATTTTCGTTTTGTTTTTTATGGGTCAAGGTGCAGTCTAAACAGATGAATTTTCAGTCTGCGACTTATTGTAAATACTTAGTATAACGAATTATTACAATTAAATAATTGTGGTGACTGTAGTTAGCTGATGTGAACATTTAAGTTGCTGCTTTTCAAAACTGTTAAGGTACTTAACACCACTTTAGGCTAGTGTTTATTTGACCTATCACAACAATATGTTTTCAGAGATGTATGTGTGTTAGAGCGTGTGTGTTTCTCTCTTTCCTCAGTGATGGAGGCAGTAGCTCAATGAGAGGGGACTCCGAGATGATGATGATGATGGGAGTGCGGAGCACTAATCAGTCCCCACAGTCAGTGGGTAGCAGTGGGATGGACAGCGGCGTAGACAGTTTGTCCGACCAAGTAGGGGACCTGGCTCATGTTGCCATATCTTTGTGCGGAGGACTCACCGACAACAGCGAGATCACAAGAGGTATGATAAGGAATGTGCAAGGAGGCAATGACAGAAGGAAAAAAATAAGGTGTACAGTGCTGTTCAGTTTTAACGTTTTTTCCTCTTCTTCGTGTTTAAACACGTCTGTCAATCTGTGTATGTTCTTACCTCTATATATACCGTGTGTGTGTGTGTGTGTGTGTGTGTGTGTGTGTGTGTGTGTGTGTCATGCCACAGAGCAGTTCCAGGAGAGGGCAATTTCCTACCATCAGTTCTCTGAAAACCCTTCTATTATCGACGACCCTAACCTGGTGGTCAAGATAGGAAGCAAGTATGTACTACTATAATGTATTCAGTATTTAAGTGTGATTCACATTAAAACTGGCAAAACGCTGCAATAAAAATTGAGCTTTCAAAGGAATAGTTACATATTTTGGGAAATCTGCTTATTTGATTTCTTGCCTGATGGGAGATGAAAGGATCCATACCTCTCTCTTGTCTTTATTGTAAATATGATGTTGTCACCAGCAGCTGGTGCGCATAGTTATCACAAAGACTGGACAAGAGGATATTATGTATGTGTATGCCAGCTGTCTTCGTCAGATATATGTAACTGAGGTGTAAAGAAGTGCTTATAGCACCCTCTGTTATCTATTGTAGGTACTACAACTGGAACACAGCAGCTCCTGTCATGTTGGCCATGCAGGTCTATCAGAAACCACTGCCACAGGTAAGACCACCACAGTCATACATACATATTTACTTTAATTTGTTCCCAGTTGACTGTATGTTTTATGTTATGAGTTTATGGATTCAGTGGTGGGAGAAGTTCTCATATTTATTTAACTTGAATTACCCAGTTGTATCACCAAAATATACTTAAAGTATAAAACGTAAAAGTAATCATTATGCACAAAATGGACCCTCTCAGATGTATATTATTATACAGTATATTATATTACTGTATTATTATTATTGATGCAAATGTGTACTGTGCAATGTGTACGGATTGTGAAGCCCTCTGAGGCAAATTTGTGATTTGTGATTTTGGGCTATACAAAATACATGTAATTCAATTTAATTGTGTAAGCAGCATTTATCATGCTGTAGTACTTTACACACTCTTGGGTAGTTCAATCTATAAAATGCATCTTATTTCTAATCGTTTTGTATTTAAAATCTGAGTCAGCAAATTCACTAGTCACTACAGCTGTCAGATAAATGCAGTGGTCTAAAATAGTTCTCTCTGAAATGTAATTAAGTAGCAGTTTCAAGTACTGTAGTATGACATAGAAGAACTCAAGTGAAGTACAAGTGCCTTAAATTGTAATTATGCACAATACAGTACTCAGTTACATTCAACCAGTGGTTATTATTATTGTTTTTATACACTATTATATGCTACACTATTTTTTTCATCTATCATATAAAAGTGTGGCGGCCCATCAAGGCTGAAAACAAGTGAAGACGAGTAAAAATGATTTATTCAAAACTATATACAGTATGCTGCATTTGGTGAACTACGTATATGCTATGTTGCACTCCTCTTAAAATCTTCAGGTTGCAGCGGAAAAGAGCGCGACATACCCTGAGTTACATAGTTCATCGCTGTTCCATGACCATTTGTCAGTATCGCTCAAATCTGCCTTGTGTTACAGCTTCTGTCGTGTGTGCGGAGCTCTTTTCTTCACAGTAAATGAAGAGGGCGTTTTTTCGTTTTATGTTGTTTTTTATCCTGACCAAGGCCTCTAGCCCAAAAGGTTTTCCATTCTGTGATGTCCTCTTTCTTTTTATTGTGGGATTAAAATGAAACACTTGGGGCTACAACATTCCTGTCCTTCAGGGTAAAGTTATACAGTATAGAATGATTATTTGGAATTTCTAAATAAATTATGTTTTTGAATTGTTTTAATTTGATTATATTATCAATCAATTTGTTGGATGGTGTTTGGTGTCTTGAGTGTTCCTCTACCTCCTGCATCACGTTCTCCTGTGCACTCCCAGCATTTTGCAACTATTAATAATTATTAATTCTCCCTAATCTGATCTGTCACTTCAGTGTTGCCAGTGTCCTCTCTTTATTTCATGAAAAAGTAAAGCAAATGCTACCAGATGATGTGTGTTCACATTTGTTTCTGGCTCTCATAATAGTTCATATTTAATGTACAATACACTCAATGTACAATACAAATGATATTTGATTATTTACACTAACTACAGTGGACAAAGCTGACAGCATTGTTATGGATACTAAGATGGGGACGCTTACATCAAAGCTGCTCGTCTTATACCACAGTGAAATATGGCTTTAAATCTGTTTTCCCTAACACTTTAATAATGTAATGTCTTTATCCCCCTCCTTATTTTTTCCCTTTTATTTATACATTTTCTGTCTCCTAACATCCATGCAATGTTTGTGTGTACCAAGTGTTGGTGTCTGAGTTATGTGTTCTCTGCTTTTGGCCTCTTCTCATACTGCCTCCCTGGTCTGTTTGGCTCTGGCCCTTCCCAACCTGTATGATGTTTTCTTGCTTTGCTTGAGTGTTGGTCAGGGCATGTCTTTGTCTGTCTGTTTTTTACCATCAGTTTTCACCACTGGCAACCACGTCTCTCTATTCTTCCTCGTGGTGTGGAAGAATAGACCTCTCCATTTGACTTCTCCATTTGAAGATTGTGACTGCTCCAGTCATAATCTTCAGTCCCTTCCTTTCAGGTTTTACTTTGCAACCGTTTGTGTGCCATTAAAAAATCCACCTGTATCTATCTTCATTTTTGTGATTCAGTTGGAGTTGTGTGCGGTTTTCTTATATGATCTTTGTTATTTTTACTTTTGTACTTTTTTGTGCTTTCTTTTAACGTGTTTATGGGTTTACCTGTGTTTTGTGCTTCACTTTGTTTTGAGTTTTTTCTATCAGTTTTGAGTTGTGTGTGCATGGTTGTCTCCAGGCCTCAGTGGAGAACATCATGAAGGAGAAGATGCCAAAGAAAGGAGGACGCTGGTGGTTCTCATGGAGGAGCCGGAACAGTGACTCCAAATCAGTAAGTGCAGAGATACACACAATATTAGTGAGCTTTTTTTTAAGAAGAAATGTAATTTGTCTTGAGCCTTTATTATCTACACAGTGAAGAGTGTCAGATAGGAGAAATGAGAGAGGCAAAGGCTGGGAGCCTCAATCAACACATGCAACAATGCTTCAGTTGACTAAACCAGTTGTGACCTTTGACATTTGTGCACTTCAGGAATCAGCGACAGATGCAGGAGGAGACAGTGGAGAGAGCTCTCTCACTATGCCCTCAGGAAATGGGTAACTTCCGACAATTTTTTGCTTATTTTTTGTTTTTTCACTCTTTAAATCACCATATTGCTCTCTCAACACTCCCATTTGCATCAGTTTTCAAAGTTCCACCAAGTTGGTTGTCTTTGATTTTTCAGGATGAAGGACGAGTCATCCTCTAGTGATGAGGACCAGAGATCGTCCAATCAGGCGTCAGGATCCTGCCCGTCAGAGCTGCTTGTGAGTTCTGGCAGTGTCTGTTATAAGAAGACTCTTCGGCTCACCTCGGAGCAACTGGTAAATATTACTACTGTTGGTTTTATTGACCTTGATGAGGATAAAACATGCAGACAAGACAGTTAATGGCAGCTTTGAAGTTATGTAGTGACTTATTACATATTTTCCACTATGCAATCTTTAATTGAACGGCGTTATTCTAAGATTTTCTTTCGGGGGCTACCCCATACTTTGTTGTGTTATTGCATGTGTTCCTTGCCTGGAGTATAAAATGAGCCCAACACTGAATAGAACACTTTTTTTTACCTTCCTTCTTTCAATCTGTGTTGTGTGTGTGTGTGTGTGTGTGTTTACAGGCCAGCCTGCAGCTGAAGGAAGGTCCTAATGATGTGGTGTTCAGTGTGACCACTCAGTATCAGGGCACCTGTCGTTGCCATGGCACAATCTATCTTTGGAGCTGGGATGACAAGATAATCATCTCGGATATAGATGGTACCATCACCAGGTAAGGCAAAGCGATATATAGAGATAGTCTCGCTGTCACATGTGAGATTCACAAACCAGGCTGGAATAGAAGGCTGTTCAGTTTCAACTTTTCACCAGTAGATGTTAGGCTTCACACAGATCTGGTGTTGGTGGTTTTGTCTCTGTAAGTGTATCTGTATTGATTGTGTGATGTTGCCTCTCATGTGTCACGCTGTAGGTCAGACACCCTGGGTCACATCCTGCCCACACTGGGTAAAGACTGGACCCACCAGGGCATCGCACGACTCTACCACAAAGTCAGCCAGTGAGTGCTACTTTACAATTTGCGCACAGTGTGCAGACTGCAGTATGTAAAGCTAAGGCAATCTGGCTAAATCTTATTATATTATTTCTTAAGTTCAGGGGTCGGCAACCTTTTTGATATGAAGTGACTTTTCTTTTTTTTTTATGTGCCATAAAATGTATGACCTTTATTTAAACCCGAGTGCACAGCTCAGTATAAGCTCTCTCTTTGTTTGTGTCTCTCTCTGTCACAGGAATGGATACAAATTCATGTACTGCTCAGCGAGGGCCATTGGCATGGCTGATATGACACGAGGCTACCTGCACTGGGTCAATGAGAGGGGTACCATGCTGCCAATAGGCCCGGTGCTGCTCAGTCCCAGCAGTCTTTTTTCTGCCTTGCACAGGTCAGACACACACCACATTTACAAAAATACTACTCTGGAGTAGTCAGAATTCACATGGCCTTGGAGTCAACTGAAAATATTTCACAGTATTGAATAAAAGTTACTTTAATTTGGTATTTATCAATGATATTTCTACCAGGAACAGCTACACAATAATGACACAATATATTGTTATTATATTGTTTTAGCAATAGGATATATATACATGCAATATAGTAACTACCATTTCAGGGATTTTCATGCTTTTACTTAACTCAGTGTTTTTCAACTCTTACCGAATGAATCCTTTTCAAAACCCAACTGCATGGGAAACTTAAACGTCTTTTCAATGGAGGGGTAACATTTGTTTGATGTCGTGCCATGTTTGTGTAGGGAGGTGATTGAGAAGAAACCAGAGAAGTTTAAGATTGAGTGTCTCACAGACATAAAGCAGCTGTTCTACCCCAACACTGAACCTTTCTACGCTGCTTTTGGCAACAGAGCTACGGTGAGACTGCTGCGCATGAACAGATACAAGCATGTACTTTCTCTGTATCGTGTTGGTACTTCTGACTTTTGGTAGTGATGCTGATTGTTTCTTTATGTGTGATTTCAGGATGTATATTCCTATAAGGAGGTGGGCGTTCCTCTGAACAGGATTTTCACTGTCAATCCCAAGGGAGAGCTGATACAGGAGCATGCCAAAACCAATATCTCCTCGTAAGCTATATTGTCTGTTTCATTTGATTTACATCCGTGTGATCTGACTCTGGACACATGTGTGTGCAGATGTTTGACGTCTGAATTATGCTTAAAGGCTGTAAACATCTCTGTGTCTCCCACTCAGTTTTGGGCGTCTGTGCGAGATGGTTGACCATGACTTCCCGGTCCTAGCTCGAGATGAGGAAGCAGACGTCCCGTGCTCTTACACTTTTGACCAGGTCAACTACTGGAGCGAACAAGTTCCCGATGGCACCAACCAGGAAGAAGAAGACCCACAGCCACTTGAGACAAGCTGAGAAAACCCCATCAAATTCATTATAGAGGATGCCGCGTACAAGGCTGTGGTCAGTGGTTTCACTGTGAAGTCGGCAGCCCAGATTCAGAGTGAAGGTGTTGGTTATTTTAGAATCAAAAACTTATCCAAGAACTTTATCTGATGAATGAATGAACCCCTGGCTCGCACAAGGATCAAAGACTACTGATTCAGAGTAAATTAATGTGTTTTCAATATCCCACACAGACAAACCACCTTGCCATCAATGAACAGAGAGAACACAAGCACACTTAAGGGTTTATTTCAAATAAGACTGAGGATTTTGTTATCGAGGAAAGAATAAAGAATCGCTGCTGAATTTCAACCCTTGCTTGTGAGTGAGGCTAACTGACAGTTTTGCCGAAGGAGTGGTCAACACAGAGTCAAAGACTCACATATAACACATTTTAAAGTGCACTGACTCACAGACACGCACAAACACACGCACAAACACATACACATACGTAAATCTTGTAAAGGCATTCTATAGACAATGCACAACATTGCAAAACATAACTAAATTATCCCTCACTGTGTGTTTTTCAGCTTCCTAAGAGATTCCTTTGACTGGTTCCTATTCTCTCCATCGTCCCACACCACTCTTCATTTGTACTGGTGGATAAAAAAAACACACAAACACATAAACTTAATGTTTGTGAAATGGTGAAAAGTATCATTATTATTATTTTGTACCAATAGGACTTGCATAGTCTGGTATCGATATTGTGTCATCCCTTCTCGTGTCACCTGATAACCATTTTGTTTTTTTCGAATTCTATGTAAAATAAAAGTGTATTTTGAAATAAATAACTGTGCTAAGTTGACCTAAGCATTGGTTGAAGTCCACTAAAATGTAAGGACTCACCATGCAGACATTCTCCTGTACCCCACAGAGATTCTACACACATTCTAGCACTCCCAGATTACCGGCACACCTGCCTTCCACAACTGATAATAAAATATTAAATACATGTACAATTCAGCTTTTCGAATCTCAAACCTGTTGGTGCATCCCTCATTTTTGTACCTTGTTTAAGTAAGAATACTGTAAATTTTACTCATCATATGCAATGTATTCACCAAATAGTAAAAGTGAGAATCTTGGCTTTACCTGGTCCAGGTATGTAGCTGTAGTAATCTTTTGTGACCTCAAGTGCAATAGATACAGCACAACACTTTGCTCCATAAACAACACCTTACATAACATTTACATTACATTAAAGCCATCCAGAACATGCAAAAATAGCACAGATAGTGTATCCGATCATCTTTCTGTGCCTTTGCAGGTCCAGCTAAATGCGTGTGGTCTTCTGACCGTGCTACTGTGAAAGATGTGGCTCTGGCACATTTTCTTGTGTTCAGTGACAATGCACAAGATAAATGCAGGGCAATGCAAATCCCTTTAGTCTGTGTTCTTTCTGTCTGTTTTATACATGCAAGTAAGTTAACTCCTGTGAAATGCTAGAATGTAGAATATAAATCACTCAGAGTGTATGTTATGACATATAATTATGTATAATGGCTAATGCTCGTCAATGCAATTACTATAGAAGCCCATACAGGAATGTGGTCATATTTTTTTCAGTTTTGTAGAGTTGATACTACTCAGATCAGTATACTTTAATGTACAGCACTAATCTGTAATGTAATTCAGCAGTATGCAGTATATTCAAACACTGTAAGTTTTTCTCTTTACAAACTCATCTATTTTTGTCATTTGTACATATTTCTGTCATTTGTTATCAAATGTTTATGTTTTCATTCATTGATCACATAACATCTGCATTTATGTGAGATGGTTTATTTTCTTATCACATGTCTAACTTGAAATTGGGGGAAACTACTGTAAATAATGATTAACAGTCATTTTTTTAGAGTCCATATGAAGAGAACTTTAAACAAAACAACTCTGTTAATCATTTGAGAGCTGATATATTGTCTAAAATACTTTTGTTACGGTGCTCATTCAAATGCACTTGCAGCCATTTTATGCTTTACTGTGAATTTGTTTTCAAACCAGCCACTTCCCGTTTCACCATGTGACCACTGAAGCTAAATATTGTATTATACAGTATATACAATGCAGCTTTGAATGCCAGACAGCTTCAAGAAAAGTAAAAAACATGATTTTGCGACTTTGTTCCAGATATTAAATCATCTGAAAATGATAAAGAAAAAAAAATCTAAAAGTAATTCCCCAAATTTTTGTCATATTTTAAAATGGATATTTGTAGTCTGATATTAATGTGTCCTATATTGGAAAAAAAAGTGAGATCAAAATGCCAGAATACTGATAACAGAGGAGCCCCCTGACAGTGACTGAGTCTGTTGTACTGCTAAATACTTTGTGTGTATAGGATAGATATGTCTGATGCTGAAAGAAAACGAATGAGGAATCAACCTGTTGATGTTCACATGCCTTTGGGTAGACCAGTGTAAATTGTGTAAAAGGAAAAGATACAGAGGGTGCATGCTGATGTAAAGCTACGATGCATAAGTATGTAGGTATAATGACCACTGTCTTGTCACCTGATCTTTGTAGGGAAGTGCATTGCTTTAGTATTGTTTTCAGTATGTCAAACATTGAAAGACATGTTACCTTGTCATTATTTTAGCCCAAAACACACTGATCTGTGTGAGGTCATTGTCTATACTCGAAAAAACCTTCTGCCTTGTAGTCTTTTAATTACAGTATGAAGATCTCCAACTTGTGTGGTAAAATATGGAAGTCAAAAGTAAGAGAAGATTTTTCTTCTTAATGAACCCAATGATTTCCAAATATTTCAATTAAATCATCTGTTTTATGATTATAACCTGATTCTTTCTGTGAAAGATCGTTAGAAACTCAGTTATGCAGTCTGTCTCTGTGTTGACATGGATCTTGATCCAGTTTTCTGTCCCGTGTAAAGATGATGCAGTATGAAGCAGCCCACCAAGCAATGTGGGCTGCAAGATATTGTATATAACATAGTTTGAATAAATCTGTACATTGGAAACATTTTTAAATAAACTCAAAGGTGATTGCTACTTTGTTTTACTCGTCCACTCTACATAATGAATATCTTTTACTTTTGTTACATTTTAAGCTTTGTTGCTAATGATTTTGTAGTTTTATTTATTTACAATTTTGAATGTACATCTTTTACTTATAAAAATTGCATTGAGAAACACAAAGGCACACAGCTGTGTCCGGTTACAGACACACACACGAGTAAAGAAAAATTAGGCCTTCTTTTAGGAGTCGACCATTTTGAACTGGAAAACCAAGAGTTGCTCATGTTGTTGATTCTTTGTTTCTATAAAAGAGGCACACAATAATTAGCAGTGTTTCTTGTGATGTCTATTATGCATAATACTATTAACTGTTAACTACAACATATGCATTACAAATCATTTTGGGTTGTGTCCAAAAGTAAATGTAAAGAGACAGCTTCGATTTCACAGAGACTGCACTCCCAAGGAAATATACAGCATCAGCAGTTTCAGGAGATGAAGAATGACATATGTTTATGTTTAAGTGACAAAGACCTCTATCGGCCTTGGGAAGTATGCACTCACTTAAAGTTAATCTAGTAAAATCTACAAAACAAAGAATGAAATAAAATGTACAATAATATCAAGCTAAGCCATTGAACAATTAGCTAACCCTTTTCAACAAGCACATATACAGAGTACTGGTTGTGTTCAAAATGAACCGATCTTTCCCTAATGCCCAATCTTCACTGTGCTCCAGATGTGAACATGATGTGAGTCTTCACAAGAGCTAATACTGAGCTTCAGCACCGACCACAGGACTACACAAGGTCTGGATTTCTTTTTGTTCTCATCGCTTTTGTTTGTAACAGGTTTGCTTGAGATTTGACACTTAACAGTTAAATGAAACTCTTTTCCATGTTGCTTTATTATGTAATAAATCAGTTGGAATTCCCATCGTAGCCTATTCCTTACATCAAAACTTTTTAATCTGCAACTACAGTTTAGTGGAGGAAAAAACGGTTTTCCTTCGTGACAAATGTGTAGTAAGTTATTTACTTACTATTTAGTAGTCTACATTAATATAAACTTTTCTGGGCCTCAACAACAACATCAACATCAACCAACATGTTGGAGACATGGCCTACATACAGACAGACCACTACAGTCCGAAACGTTTTCCAGTCAGGATAGTCTTTATCTGTAACTCCGCTGGTGTTGTTGACATGCTTAAACTATATTTGTGGATATTGTACTTGTTCTAAGATAAATGGGTATCTCGTTGCCAACAGGACAATTACATTTTAACACTTTTTGTTTTTTTAAACTTACGTTAAACATGTCAAATATTTTCATATCGAGTCTTCCAGCCATTGGCCAGCTGTCAGAGCTTCATTGAAGCAGTGTTGTTGAATGTCTTTTTAAATTCATAACATATGTGAGTACTCTTAAGTTAACATAAATGTAAAATGTATTACACAAAAAATATATTGACTTTGACTTATTTGTAGAACATTTAAGCGTAAAGAAATTCTTTTTTCGAACACTTTGACTTTTATGACATTTTTACGACACACTATACTATTACTTTTACTTTTATTACTATTTTTGTGACATACTATACTATTCCATTTCTATGACATTTGTTATGGCATACTATACTATGACTTAATTTTTGACAATATTCTATGGCATATTATACTATGACTTTTTAATGGCTTTTTGTCACATTTATGAATTATATGCAATACATTTCTATGACATTTTTTACAACATGCTTTACTATTTTTTAATTCAAATGAAAGTAAAGATTTATTAGAGATCACATTGTTTGCTAAGTGTCATTATTAAACTTAATGTTAACCTCAAGAACATATTAATTGCACTCAATATCACAACGTTTGCCGACCCGTGCTTATGTCAAACATACTAATATTTTCAATCTATTTCTTTTCTGTGACAGTTTGTCCATACAATGTCTGCTGATCTATACTGTGCGAGTAACTCAGGTGGAAATAATGCAAATCTTCAAGGCACCACAGTGGGGGGCAGCAAACCTTTACACCGCTTCATTAAAGGGCAACCCAAGATTATTGGCGTGAGACACACACACAACAATGCTCAAATGACTGTTTTCAAACACTTACTGATTGTAATTTACCAGCATAATTTCCAAGGTCACATATTTGACAGTCATATCTAATAATTCTATTTTTACAGAGGTAAAGAGGTCATGCTTGAAGTTCTTTTTGATTTTCTATTAGATCATTGCACTGGTCCTGGGCTCATCTTTCTTCATGCTTTCCATCGTAATCATGCCACACAACTCTATTCAATTTATATCGACAACGGTCTCGCCTGGCTTCTTGCTTGGAACACTGGTTGGTAGCACAGCAAGAGAATAAAAAGTGGATTCAATATTTAATAAACAGCCAAATTACAGAACTAACAAACCACCAATAACCAAAATTTGTACAGGATTTTATCATGGGCTTATGGCAATTTTAACTTATTTCAGAAGTTAAACCCCAACAATAGGTCTTATCTAGATGGTACCCCACGATTTGTGAAACTCTCTTGAGATGGTTATGGTTAGGCATTTACCTTGAATGATTAAGGTTAGGATAGGTCGTTGGGCAGCAAATCTCAAAAGAGTTTTTGCAATTAATGGGTTACCATCTTTACACGACCCAAATAATTGGCTGTTTTTTTTGCTATCCTGTTTAGTAATTACAATCTTGTGCAGCACTGTGATATTCCAAAACATTCAAAGGATACATAATAAAACAGTTTTTTTCCTCTTCCTTGTAGTTCATCTTTTGTGGGATTCTATATATTCTGACAGAGCACAACCCAACCAAGAAAACAGTAAGCTCGATTGTCATTTTAAAAAACAATACAAGCAAGTTTTACAGAACTATTTATTTAGAGGACCGAGAGCGGAATATCCCCTCCAGATATGGTTTGTATAAAATACAAATAATGCTGCGTATAATAATTTGTGTCTGGTGAAATTTATTTTCTTTTTAATTACCAATTGAGTTTATAGATTTTTGGGCTTTTGTAGGCCTCTCCATGTTGTCCATGTTTCTGTCTGTTTCTCCTTCATCTCCCTCTGTTTGTGTCTACATGTAGGTAACCATGTCGTTGGCTCTGAGTATAGTCACCACACTGGGGGTATGTTGGACTTTAATGCACATCTTGCCCAACACTATTCACCACAGTTACTACAGGGACTATGGATTCATTGAAGACAATTTCACTCATGAAATCATACCAGATTGGTCATATGAGGTGATTCTTTTTTTTTTTTTATCATTATTTGTTATTTTTTTGTTGGTGGCGGTGCTCATTATTATATTGATCACAAATCTAAAACAAGTTTTAGCTTTTACATTTCTGTGTTGAATAAATGCTTTATTGTTTGAACAAGCATTTTGTGTATCTTGGTATCAAATGAAAACTTCACCCGAAAAGCTTTTAAGAACTTTTACTCTTATAGACTGACAAACATAACACAATACGTTTTAAATGTTTGATTTATTGTTGGGTCGTAGCCCTTATTATACAAAAGAGTACACATCTACAGCACTAAGCAGTTCAACTTGCTGTTCCACAAATAAACATATTTACTATTGTTTTAATTATTTTCTTTACTTGGTAAAACATGGCCTGATTTGCATCCAGATTTGGTATCACATCAGTATCTCAATTATTTATTAAACTGCATCATTATTAACAGAGACCAAAATGTGTTGGATAGTCATTATTTATATACTATTATTTATGGATATAATTTATCATTTAAATCAATGAGACATTCAAAAAATAAAAAATGATATGAATTTCATCGTATGTATTTCTTTATCTGTTTGTCATGTGTCTACATGTTTGTCCAGGAAATGGTAATGTCCGTGGCATTTATCTTCGTGGTCTACAGTGTTTTGGGTGCCATTATTTTCATTGTAATGTCATGTCTGGCGGTAGCTGCCCTGCGTTCCACAAAGAGCCAGGTAAAAAAAGACATAAAACGACTTCCATACGCTAAGAACTGTGCATGTCCCACTCACGCTCACCACATATTTGCTAAGCTTAAACAAAATTGCAACATAAGTAAGAACCAGTTAAGTCAAGCATTCAAGTTCTCTTACTCTTCTCTTTAGGCCATTATAGTGATGACTACTACGCCGGATGAAACACCAGTGGAATAACGAGCACAAGAGGAAGGTCTGAAGTGCCATAAATTGAGCATAGAGAAGAAGCATGAAGCATACAAAGACAGACAAGTATTTATCTTTGTGGGAATAACAGGATATGTGATTCCATTTGTAGGTGGTTGCATACAATGCACTACAGATAATATAGGTACAGTATGTATATTGCCTTGTGGTGTTTCTGTGATCTATTACTACTTCCACCATCATGTGAGCACTATATTTCCCTCTGTTGAACATTTGCCACAAGACCTGGCAGGATGATAGCATTGAACTTTTACCAGTGCATAGGCAATTTACAGCTACTTACTCTGTAGTCTGGCTGTTTGCAGGACTACGGGAGAGGACAAAGGCCCGGGTGAAATCTCTGTCTCTCTCTGAAATAGTTGAAGAAAACTTGTATTTTAATTTCTCAAAAAGACTCAAATTAGTCAAGAGCAGGCTTAAATTGACATAAGCTTGCTGGTGCTCTTGTTACAGTAAGGTCCCACCTTTAATAAAACACCCTGAAGAAAATGTTCATAAATTGTAACCAAGATGGATGGAGGATGGCATTACTTGTCTTTTTAGCTTTAACTCAAACGGAAAACCACTCCAATGGACTGTTTGACCCCTTGGTTCCAGACCTCAGAATCACTTCCCACACATACAATATTTTTCAGCATCTCTAGTAGTGAATAGTTAATGGAAATTCAGTCGGATTGGGCTACTGTTTGACCTTTAACCTTTTGGAAAAGTGTTGCAGAAAATCTGAAACTGAATTCAACATGACTGCAGAATTAGTTATAAAAATCCATTATTAACCATTTAAATACTTATTACCACTTATAACCCCAGAAGTGACAAACTTGAGCTTTTATGAGTGAGAATTATTATATTATTTTCCATTATAGAGTTATTTGTTTTTGTAACCGCAGACACGACTTATTATTTATTGATGGTTGGCATTGATAGAACTGAATATTCACCAAACACGCAGCCATGGTAATTCTTAAACATTTTATGATGAGAGAGAGAGAGTATATTTTTATTTAACACAACAGAGTGAGGACATCTGAACATGAAAATCTAATGTCAACAACTCACCCATAAAATTGTCACCTCTTGTAAACTGTTCTCTATGTTTTCAATTAAAGGTGTTGAATATAGAATATAGAATATGATCCTGTCCACCTTCTTGTCCCGTACAAAAGAAGCTTGGCAGCCCTTGACATTTGTTTTTACCATGTCAGCTCGTGTTTCAGCAGCAACACTAAGTACAAACACAATGACACCAAGTGCACAGTCCTCACTTAAAGAGGACAGCATGTGAGACTTAGCACTAATACATGCTGTGATATGAACAGGGAGTATGATGTTATTCAAGTCATGACATGTCTGTACCCTTCCTGTTGAACTGTCCCCATAAGTTGGCAAAAAACATCGTAGGTTATGTTTTGATTATGTTGAAGAAAATCATATAACTTAGGATTGAACTGAACACATTTGGATTCACAAGTAAACAGTTTATATAACTTCTTATGTAATACACATTCTGGCTCATAAAAACATTCTTAGGAAGTGATTAGGGAGCGCCAGACAAATTGTAATAAATCTCTCCAATTCGTACCAAAACATTTCCCTTACATGGATCGTGAGTGTGATCTGCCAAAAGGTTATCTTGACACAGACAAGGACATGAGATCATGACATAATGAAGAGACCAGATGTGCTTTGTTTTTGGTTCACGGACTGGTTTTATTGGTGGAAAGTAACTTAAGGGGGGTGAATCTTGACTATAAAAGTGATCTGTGAAAAGTAATACATTTGGATTGTTTCGATATGCTGAACTTGTAATATGTTGGCAAGTGTGTATTAAAAGACTCCCCGCTGGTTGCAACATCAGTTCATCGTCTCTTCTCGTCATTTTGCCACAACAATTAATATACAAAAAAAATAGGCTTCAACTTAAAATGAGTCTGTCTTAAAAAGGATAGGAGTTTTTTAACATCTGTCATAACATCGGAAAGTTAAATATTCAGATTTTCACTTTAAATACAGAATAACAAAAATCAAACACACAAACACATATGAAGTTTATTATGTTGCAGTGGGTTCAGATTGTGTTCGTTGCATATTTTTTGTAAAAGAAACCAAAAACAATCAGATTTATATCATTTTAAAGTGTTGTTGTGAAACTGGAAAAAAATGATCTTAAACATGATGTATCACAACTTATCATAAACACCAATCAGACAAATGTATACATGAGCAGCTGTAATTAATCTCTCATTTGAATATCTATACAGGCTATATAGTATACCATGAACAAAGGAAAAAACGCCATGCATGGATAAAGGAATGAAAATTCTGTGCATTCAGAAATGCACCGTTCTTAACAGATTGTTTGGTCATGACAGGCAAAACAAGCTGTGAATACAAAACTCATATATCATCACCTTTTATGTTTATATATTATATGGCTAACCTTTTAGCAAACAATTTACACTTCCAGCTGATAAGGCGCAACTGAAACTTGCAATGATTTTTTTGGCCACTTGGGTGCAGCAGAAGAGGAAGCATCCAGTGATAATCATCTGTCGTTCTATGCGGTTAATATCAATATATTGATTATAGATGCTTTCAATCATTTATTCATATACTTTTTTGACTGTTTCCCCTTTTACTCATTTACTCACAGCACTACAGCATTATTAACTTCTATATTGTTAGCTTCTGGAGGGCAAAGATATGACATGAATTCTAAAATTGATCTCATAACTTTATCTCATTTGTCTATCTAATTGTCCTCCATATATTTGCAAAATATAAAAGAAAAATCTCATAATCCTGAACTATTTAAAACAAACCAATACCTTTAAATGATACTGTCATTCAATGACAGGACAATCAAATCACTTTTGAGGACTCTCCTTGTCTCAAATTGAAGAAGCAGCTTGAAAGTCACTCCTGAGGACACAGCGCTGGTGAACACGCATGTGCTCTGTGACACGGTATTGGCGGGAAAAGGTCATTGGGCAGCGGGGGCAGGAGAAGGGCCGTATGCCAAGGTGGCTCCGCACATGTCTATTCAGAGAGCCTCGCTGGCTGAAGGACCGGTCGCACAGAGAGCACTGGAAAGAGTGTTGAACAGGGTTTGACAGATGAGCTGATACATTTATTGGCATACTGGCTGACAGGGAAGAAGGTATGCAGGGAGACAAGGTAGATGACACGGAGGCTTGTACAGACTCTGGCACACTAGGAGGTGAACAGACTGTCATGGTAGTGGCCTGGTTCTCAACGTCTTTAGGGTTGGAAACCCCCTCCACAACCCCGGCTTTATTTATAACTTCAGCTCCTGGCCTGCTTTGTTCTGTACCAACAGATTTTCCTTCTTCAACATTTGTTTTTCCAATCCAATATTTAGTGTCAACCCCTGCTACAGATGTTACTTCATTCCATGGCTCTTTATCATTATTCCCAAATCCGTTTCCAAACGTTTCCCTTTGGCTGAATGCATTAGCAACTAGCAACTCAGTAGGTTTGCCACTAATGTCCAGCAGTAGAACCTGGTCTCTAGACCCCGTAGAAAAGTGCTGCCTCAGAGGGCTGTAACCTGGTCTGGCAAAGGTACCAACCTCCTCATTGTCACTGGACTGGTCTGAATGATCAGGGTGGCTAGTGTGGGAGTGTTTGCTTCCAGAGTATCTGTGTGATAAGTGTGTTGCCTCCTGTGGTAGGTAGTGATATTGAAGATGTCCTCGGTAGGACGGCCCCACAACACTACACGTAGAGTCAGACATACTGTGGTCCACAGACATGGTAAAAGTTAAGTGTGGCTCTGTGATCTCAATGCCTGAATTATTTTCAAGTTTCACAGATGTGTGGCGTTTAAAGCCAGAGACGCCATCAGTGACACTATCAAAACATGATTCTGGTGTGGTGGAGACAGGCTGACACGAATCAACACTGTGTCTGTTGCTTGTCATAGCTGGGTCTCTGTTGTGTGCATGCTGGCTAGTGGCACCATCTTTTGAGCTTGTTTCAGCTCTCTGCAAGTCTGGGTACCAATCAGTCTTGAGTCCATAGATGGTACGGTGGCTGTCCTGTCTATCGGTTTCAGCTGGACACCTTGAGTTACTGTGATCGTCTTTTACTTCTCCCTCTGAACACAAATCTTCACAGTGCGAGTCACTTTCCATGTCTGAGTTCTGTACAGGAGGTGGAACTACAGCTCTCGGATCTTGTGAGCGAATTAACCGCTCCTCTGCTACACTTGTCATCAGGACATTGTGGCAATCAGAACAATCCAGTCGCCGATGTTTGGAGGAGAAATCATCAAAACCTAGATCAGTGTTATACTGCGACCCCCTGGTGAAATTGCACCAATCCTTATTCTGCGGCAGTGAATCATTCCTAAAATGTTTTGTGTGATTCTTACTCTGAAATGAATCCCAATGAGCATGGCAATCATTATGATCTGTAATGTGAGCATTGCTCATAGGTTCATAATTCTGTCCTATCAAATTGTCTTTATTGCTGCTGTTGTATTCCTGTTTTAGGATGTCAGATTGTCCTGAAATATGATTGTAATCCCAAATCTGTGTCCCAATATGGTGCTTATTGTTTCTGTAATCCTGATTCTGTTCCCCATGAAGATTTTTGTGTGTAGTGGTAACACCTTCAACTATGTTGTCATTATCTGTGCTTCCCGGTCGGGAGTCAGGGGCCCTGCTGGAGCTGATTGAGGCCTGGGATACTGGATGGTAAGGATGGGGAATTGTTGACACTGCTCTACTGCTGTGACGTATGACAGGCACTGCCCCAAAGCACAGATGTGGTGATGAGTTGGAGGAGGAGGAGCACTGTGTGGGCACAACACTGTCCTTAAAGTGGGAGATCGAGAGATGATGAAATAGAGTTTCATCGTTGCTGTTAGTTTGCTTTTCCTCTGCTTTACTTTTCTCTGTTGAACACAGTCGCTGCTTCTTCTCTGTTCTGCTCGTCTCTTCCTCTTGCACCTCAGCAGGGCAAAATAAAAACAATCTCCTCCTGTCCTCAACTGTCTTCTCTAGCTCCTCCTCTGTGCCAGCTGAATCTGAATGAGCTGAATGTAACAGATCCTTTGGCACCTCTTTGTCCACTCCAGATACCCCGTGCACCTCAGCAATGCAAGGGATGTTTTTAATCAAATCCTGAGGTGTCAGATAAGTTACTTGTCTGCAGTTGCCTGTATTTACACTACGTTCAGATACACTACAACAGGTGCTTGCATTGCTTGCATCTTTTTTGTTACTGTGGTTTGCACCATTTTTACTGCTGGTTCTACATGTCGACACATCACATGTGTCAACATTGGCTGAATATTGATGATCTTCTTTCCCCAGGGATAATGGCAGATACATACTAAAACTGTCCACAGTTTTACTATAAGTATTGTGAATGTCTTCATAAGGCCGATTCTCAGCTGCAGATGAACCATTTGTATTATCTGTAACTTTCCCCTCA